GCGCCCGGGCGGTCCGTGTAGCTGCAGGGGACATGGGTGACACGGGCTGCCCTGTGCCCGCCCGCGGTTCAGTCCAGTGGCCGCGAAGGCGACGTCCTGGCGAGGGGCATTGAATGCGCTTTGTGCCTTCCCTGGGGAAAGGCGCCCAATCCCTCGTGGGCTCCTGCGACCCCAGCCGCCTTTTGCCGAGACCAGCCAGGTCCCCTGTGTTCACTTTGGAAAGAGATAATCACTGAGTTAGCTCTGCCACTGGAGTTGTAATTTTTACACTGTCTCTGTTTGTTTGTTTGCTTTTTTCTTTTTTTTTTCAGACACTGAAAGTCATTTCGCTCTGAATTAAATGGAGAGGCAATTTAGGCAGCCGTGAAGGGAGAGGGGGCAGTAGGAGGGGGAAGATGCAGACGAGGAAGACTGCTCTTTCGAAGTGATGCTTCTTTAATCCTGCTAAGCAGTTAAACGGCAAAATGCTGTTTAAACTTTTAAACAACTAAATGAGGCGCTAATGTGTTTAGATAGCCTAGGTGAAGCAGCCAGGGAGAAATCCAAGCTGACTTGAAAGCAAATGATACCCTAACACTGCACAACTTATAAACATCCAATTAAACATGAGTTAATGTTACTCAGTTACATTAGAGCTGCGGCAAACCAGAGGTTCTTCAACAAGCACAAAACAGAACCTGTTTGCAGCCCCGGTGGAAGGTACTTTCTTTCACAATTTCCTTTTGCACACTCCAGAAGAGGAGAGCGCTGCAAACCCGACGTGCACAGGTTATGTCTCTGATACCTGCCAGAGTGGAACCGAAATGTTGCAACTTGATTGCAGGGTTTTGTTCATGTGGTTGCATATTGCACTTGGGTTTGAAATTGATTTTTTTTTTCTCTTTCTCCATAAAACATTTGTGTTGTTAAAAAAGAAAATATATCCCACTAACGGTCTCACCGGTCTCAGAACAGATGAGCTTTACTAGGGAGCTGAGGAAATTAATGTTTTCAGCTCACTGAGGCTGATGCAGTGTGTGCAGTTTTCTGTGGGAGAGCTTCCAAACAGGTGGAAGCAAAGATTGCCAGGAGACAACCTACCCACTACAGTCTTCTTGAATTTTCCCATTAGGTGTCTCGGGAACTGAGCCAACAGAAATTAGCACCACTTCACACTGGCCAAAACCCTTTGGAACAGCAGCTCTAACTTTAAGATGCAGGGAAGAGAACAGGAATTTAATGGCTCAGAGGCCTCTGCCTTTGAAGCCTGTCTCCTCCATGTAAGTGCTTGCGTTTGCTAAGAGATCTGCTTCCGAATACCTGCTTCACATATCTCACTTTTCATAAGTCTACACAGAGCACTACAATGCTCTGTAGCAACTTTAAGCTTTGTAGTGCAACAGGCCAAAAGCTTTAAGAAAGGAAAAGTTTAAGAACATGGCTGTTGCTGCAGTCCTATAGCTCTCAGCCAGACAAATCTGTAGCAAAATGATTCCAGATCTGGCAATCTGCTTAGTTGTGACTGTGTGAGCAAGATGAGCCTGTCAGGAGCCTGAGGAGCTTCCAAGCCCAGCAGCAGAACTATTCCCTATGAGCTGTCTCTAGCTGTGGCCAGTTCCTCTGGCCCGGATGACATCCCTGAAGCCATAGAGAACATCCAATTGATGTGTCAAGAGAGGAGAAAATCCCTCTTCAGGCCTCGATTTAGTCTCCTTAGAACGAATGCTGTACAAACTCAGTGCAATAGCACAATAAACAAGTCTAAATTTTCCACTCCTGGATCACCACAGAGTGCTGTCTCATTATCCTGTCCGTAAACTTACCAAGTTCTGTCTTAAAACACTCAATGTTTATTTGTCGATTTTTAGGGGGCTATAGAACAACTTTTCTCCTCATTAGAAACCTTTCAAAATCTGTTACAACTCCCCAGCTGGTCGTGTACCACTCTCCTCTAATTTTCACAGCTCTTTCCAAATCTTGGCCTTTGCTTTGTATCAGAGCTGGCACTGAGGGGAGGCAAAAGTGAGCTCGGCCCTCTAAACCACCCGCTGCTTCTGCAGCGCCTTCCCACGCGGCTCCGGGCTGCTGAGCCCACAGAACTGTGTCCCTGGGCTGCGGCTCTGGTGCCAGCCGAGCTGCTTCCCAGGTACAGAACCCCGCTCTCTATACAATGTGTGCCCCATAATGCAGAGGAATCACCTGATTGACGGGGGAATAACCAGCATTGCCGAACAGGGAGTCGGTCCATTGCGTTCCCATGTTTTTAACCACGTTTTCCATTACCTCAGCTATTCCAGCTGCCCCTGTCATCCCAGACAATGTTGAGTTGACTGCAATTTCCACTGTCCTATTCTCCTGCCATTCATTTACCTTATCACTACTCTTGTGTTCATCATTTTTATTAAAACCAGACACAAAGTAGACACATAAGCATTAATATGCCTTTCTCTGCCAAGAGCTCAGAAGTACCTAGAATTATAGCATAACTCAGCATAACCCACCTCTCAGGCTCAGAAGTAACACAATAGGAGGATTTTTTTAGCAAAATGTACAGTTGTTATATGTATATATAAATATCCAAATGGTATCACTGAAGTGAAGCTGTTATTCATGATGCCCTGCTACCCTTGTGATGGGTCAACCTTTATGTAAGCCTAGAGATTTCGGGTGAATTTTAAATGACATTCACTTAATTATTATTCTATAGGGGAATGGAGATTTTCAAGCATATTTCTTCAAACATAAGTTTTCGTAAGTTCATACAAACCTCCAAGAACTTTGAGATTCTGGAAAAACTTCATTTTATGCTAAATCTTCTTTCTTGTCCCTTCTGTACCCGGCGCAACGGTGATAAGAGAATATCTGCAATATTGTCTGTTAACCATTTGCATATTTGCTTGATATTTAAGCTGATGAGCATGGACTTGATTCCCGAGGAACCCTGGTGAGAAAATCTACTTGGTCAACTCTAATCACACTGTGAGAACAACGCAATGTTCCTGCTGCACACAGGGTTTTATCAGCACATCTCCTGTGTCAGGGACAAGAGAGCAATATACAGCATTCATGCGCCAGGTCTTTGGGAGGAAATATGTTGTGGCTGCTTAAAAATCACCTGTGTGGTGTCATGCAATCCCGGGAATGCAGAATCTGGCTAAATGCTTTTTAAAAAGCTGTAGCTTGATATTTGTATTTGAATTAAAAACATTACCTCAAAAGCATCTTTTCCCCTCACTGGAGTTTGCAAAATAAATCATCCAAATAACATCTGCTACACAGTTCTGGAATTGCTGACCAGCACTGAGCAGCTTTTGGTTAAATCAGACTTTTCCTAGTACCTAATTAAGATTATTCCATCTACTTATTTAACATTCACATTTATCTTATAAAAAAAATAGAACTGGCTGAAAGTATGTGCTGACCATGCATACTGGATTCTAGTAATATTCTAGGTCTTAATCATTTTTCCAGGTATTAAACACTATTTGCATTATTGTTTAAACAACTACTGTTGATCTAATCTTTGCAAGTATTTTTTTAAGCTTCCTACTTGATTTTTCACTTACTATTTATTTAATCTTTTTAATGGCTACATTCAAGTTTTTGATTTGTTCCTCCCCTTCCCACCCTGAAAATATTCTAAAATGATTTCTAATGAGAAGGAAGTTCATACAATGAGCAGGTTAAGGAGATTTATGCTCAGAAGATCTTTATTCCAATAGCCATTTTTGCTGCTTACATATATCTATTTTAACAATCAAAAAAACAAAAAGACAAAATATAAAATTATTTTGGAATAGCAACAATTTAAGAAAAACATCTCATTTCCTCATCACCTTTTACAGGTGTCAGCTTTAGATACTTGACTAAACTAAACCAAATTATTTTTTCATTATCTTCCAAAATAAAGTTAAGGTACTTGAATCTTCCTGCTCAGTTTTAAGATTCATAAAAACTGACGACTTTTGCCATTGCTATCATGTTAGAGCTTTCATACTGCACTAGAGATCAAAAATAAATTATGTAGGATCATAATCCCCTTAATCAATAAAGATGTCAGTTCCCATTCAAATATCATTGCTTATAAAGAATAAAAATTCTACTGTTTGATGCATACTTCAGAAATGGAGTTCAATAGTATTGACTGAAGTTCAATAGTATACTAATTCAAGAGCCTTTTTTCAAAAAAGAAAAAGATTTTATTATGAATTGCTTTTAATCTCTTTATATTAAAATGAATGTAACAGTATTATTTAAAATACTATATGGGAAAAGCAAACTTGATGTGTAGAAATTAAATTTTAGGAAGATCTGATCTTTGCAGACTAGCTTTATCCTGTTAACAGAGAAATAATTATTTTGCCTATAAGAGACATGCCTAATCACAGAGCCT